GTCATGAGAAAAGTGTAAAAAGTGCACATCAAAAGCTGCGCTCCTTGGTTATATGTTAGAGAAAATCTTGCAAAGTAAAATCCGTAAAATGTCTTAATTTAGGGAAAGAGGGAAATCTTAGTAGTTGCTATTGGTTTATGAAATAGATCGAATGTTTACCACACAGAGCAGAGGGAAATATGTCCTGCTTTTAATTAAATGCATACTTGAGCCAAAAATAGATTTAATAGATGTGGCTTTTAAAAGTGTGATAAAGTATTTCGATTTGAATAATTAATTACGATAACATAGAAAGATTAATAGAAGCTTTTTATGTTACATCCCCCCTCGCCAAAAATGTTTAGGTTCAATCCAAAAATTTTAAAAATGATCCATTTGCAAAATCTTCCCTCTGATAGAAGCACATTTAAGATAATCAAATTTGTAATGTTAACAATATATAATAGTAATATGAATTATAAAACATTTACATATGTTTCCATGGTAAAAATTTTAACACAATCAAAGACCTGCAGTAGCATTATCAGCAAATTTAAAATTTTCATTTTCAACAGTTTTTTTTTTTTTTTTTTTTTTTGACTTAACAGTCTTTTCAGTTTCAAAAGTCTTTTGTTTAAAGATCACAACACAGCTTTTTCACTATGGGAAGAATTCTTCATAATAATGCAATTTAAATTGACTCTTCAATCATGATAAAAAATTATAAACATTTTTAAAAATGTGTAAGTTAAAATGTAAGACACACAATGCAAAAAACAGTTTAACAGGAAAAATTTCAATCTGAAATTAGATTTGAGTATTGTTTACCTTGTTTGAAAACAAAATAAAATATGACGCAGTAGTTGTTATTCTGAAGTCCAACACTTCAGAATTGTCTTCATTTCACTTTATTTATTATTTACCTTACATATTTATCACTTTAATAGCTAAATATCCGAAAAAAAATTCTTTTTTTTCTCTTTATGTCCAAAATCTGTCTTCTGTAAAAAATTTTCTTTTCTTTTTCTCTCTTATGCTTCTATCTACTTTCTATATTTATTTATACTTTTTCTTTATTAGTATTTTTATTGCAATTATTAACCCGGATTTCAGGACATATGTAAAGACAAATTGCTTTTATAATCAGAAAAGTTGATCAGTCTTCTCAGATTTTGCATTACAACCTGTTTAACACAATCGCTAATTGAAATCCAAAACAAACTTTCAAATTTAATATCGTATTAAGGTAAATCAGTTTTTAGTTTTTGACTGATCTAGCTATTTTCCTTATTTTTAATCTGAAGTGCAAGTTTGGTTAATTTGCAAATTACCTTTAATTTCTTTTTTTTTAATTATTTGTATCTTTCTTTCTTTCTTTTTGGGCATAATTTTCTTTTTTTTTTCAAAAATTTTAGTTCGGATATTTTTTAAAGTAATTTTTGTGCAGAGATCTTAATTGATAATTTAATTTGTCACAATTGTTAGGGAATTCAAATATTTTCATTTCTATTTTAAACGTGTTTTTGAAGTGTATTTGGTTACTAAATTTTTCAATTTGTGTTTGATCATTTTCCTATCTGTATGCTGGAATTAAAGTTCAGAAATAAAGAAACAATTTGTTTATGGAAATTACTGAGCTAGAACAGAGCTATGAACTAATTACCAACGTTGGACTAAAGCATTAATGTCTGGTAGTACTTCAATTTAAATTCTAACAACAAGTATTTTATTCATTTTTCTAACTATTTGTATGAGTTCTAACATTTCCTAATTTAATTTTTGCCACACCGTAATTGCATTCATATATCAATATCAATACCAAAAATCAATATCAATAATTATTGTTGTTGAATTTAGAAGAGAATTTTTTTTTAAATGTTTTAATTGCATTTTTATTTTCACCTTAAACACTATAGTAAAACAAAAATATAAATTAAACTAATCAATAAATCATAGAAGCTGTAACACATAAAACAATAAATTTGAAAATAATTTCTTGAAGCATTTTTTGTGCCAATCAATTCACTGAAAATAAAAATTTCAAGAAAAAAAAATTCAACAGTAAATACGATCAATATATAAAAAGTAGTTTCACTTTGAAACATCAAATATGGGAAAAAATTAAAATCATAATCATTTAAGAAATTGTTTTATGAGAATTGTATAAAAATTAACTCAAAGGATACGTGAAAAAGTTCGAATTAGTCCAAGAAAATATTTTGAAAACCGCAACATCAGAGATGAAAGTGCGTTGAAATTCCATGAACACAATTCCAAAAGCAAAAACGAGAGCTGCTAGGGAAAAAATTTGTTTCTTCGTTAAGATGAATCGTAAATTAACACTGAATGGAGAAATTGACGCTTATTTTTCTTTGAGTTCTGAGTAGGTGGAAGGGAATGTCGAACATCTAAGGAGACCATCGTAAACCATTCCGGGGTGTGAAAACAATTCATCGACGATAAAATCCAGCTCAGCACTTAAAAGTGGCAAAATCAACGCTTTCTCAAAGGGATAGGGTTTCAATAAAAACATTTTAATTGTCAGGAGTTCGATGCAGTTTTTCTTTTTAGTCCAAGGAAGGAAATTGAAGCTCGGCTTTCTAGTAGTCTCAGGAACGTAGACAAAATATGCAGCATAGACATGGAAAACGGATGATCGTTTAGTTCCACTATGCGAAGGTATCATTTATAATAAACAAAAAGTTTGAAGAGTTTATTTTTTGTAGAAGATACTGGGTGAATTTTTAATTGCCATTAGTTGTAGAAGAATTTGACTGCTTATTTACCAGCTGTTCATTTGAATAAATGATTTGAAATTATTCCATATTTTTGATGTACCCTCTTCCGAAGTTGATTTATTTAATTTCAAATGAGATATTTAATATCTTTAATGTACCTTACGTACTGTACCCCTTTCCCGACCTATTAATCCTGTCGACTTATAACGTCGTTGCCGAGTGGAAGGATTAAGACAGGTCTTAGGCAGAGAAGGAGGGTACAAAATTTATTTATTAATTATTAGACAGTGAAGTCATGAGAAAAGTGTAAAAAGTGCACATGAAAAGTTGTGCTCCTTGGTTATATGTTAGGGAAAATCTTGCAAAGTAAAATCCGTAAAATGTCTTAATTTAGGGAAAGAGGGAAATCTTAGTAGTTGCTATTGGTTTATGAAATAGATCGAACGTTTCCCACACANTATATATATATATATATATATATATATATATATATATATATATATATATATATATATATATATATATATATATATATATATATATATATATATATATATATATATATATATATATATATATATATATATATATATATATACATATATATATATATATATATATATTATAATATTTTTCACTTGGTTTGATTTAAGTCCTACGAAACCCTATAAATTTTACATTTCGGTTTATAGATCCGTGGTAAACCTCCGAGCGTTAAAATATAATTTTTTTTAAAAAAATAACTTCTTTAAGGACTAAATAACTTCTTAAGGAATAAATAACTTTTTTAAAGAAACGCAAAACGGCAAAACCAACTACTGTAACCAGGCTATTCGTAGACAGTACTTCGTGGTAGATACCACTTTGTAGATAGCACAGTTTTAATATCTGCCAAGTGTGCAAACGAAAACTTTTATAATTTTTCGATTTTTAAATTTCATTATTATATTACTTTTTTAAAGTTACGCTGATTTGTTTAAAATAAATAAAGGAAATATGAAAATATTCTTGTTTTTAATTCGTCGTCTATTTGTCAAATTATTAGTTACAGATCAACACTGGTTTAAGCTTAGACATTTAAGGCTAAAAGTTTTAAGTCCATCAGTAACAAACCTTAAGCTTTCAGACGACCTCAAGTAAAGAAAATATCAACTTTGCACTCTATATGAGTATGATTAAATCTAAACAACATGAAAGATCACATAAACAGATTCACTTCGATTCCATAATGAAGATATTTCATCGAACGGCGGTGTTAAAAAAGGAAATACAGAAACGCAGAAGAAAATTGCCAACAAGTTACAACAAAACGTGGGTTAAACAATAGGTGAACAAGTTTAAAAAAGGTAAACAAAAAAAAGAAAGAAATACGAAAGAGGTGTGGTAGTAGGGTGAAAGCAAGATGTACGATTAAAATAAATGTATATTTCCACACATAAGGTAAGAACCAGAAACTTAAAAAGTCATTAAGAAACATTTCTAATTTTATTAATAAAATCTTATTTATATGTATTATTTAAATAATTTGATCAGTACAAAATGCTCGAGTAATATTTCCTTTCATTACTTTCAATCAAAAGTATGTTCACTCTTGGATTGGATGCAAATTTTAAAATAAAGGAAAAGTATTTTGAAAACTTGTTTGCCTGCAATATAAGCTCAAAATTTTAATCAATAATAGCGTTATTAAATCATGTTTTGGATGTATTTGAAGGAAATACAATTATAATTTTTTTTTAGATTTGTATTTGATTATTTAACCCTATAATGGAACATTTATTTCCATTAGTGAAACATTAAAATTCTTTTCGGCTGTAGATAGATTAAAGGAAAATTTTTGAGCTAATTAGATAAAATTAATTTGAATTTTAACACCATTTTTTATGGTAAGGATATTCACCATAAAAATTTTTAAATATACTTACAATAAAAAAACATTTACCAATTCTGAAATTATTTGAATTATTGTATTCTGCAAAAAAAAATTTCATGAGTTTCAGTTTCATGATCAGAAGTTCTCACATAATAATCTTTACTTTTTCGACCATTGTGAAAAGATGGTAAATACATTGTAAGTAATAATTGTTATAATACAGAATTATTCTTACAATGCATCTGCCATCGCTTCACACTGTTTGAAAAAGGAAGGAGGCTAGCTTAGTCCATCTTACAGCATTCTCTTAGTTTTCCCCAAGGAGCATCACTAAATAATTCTTTTAAAAATGTATTGTATAGCTTAGTTTCATGATCAGTACTTACAAGATGAACGTTACTTTTTCAGGTACTGAAAAAAGATGGCAGACACACTGTAAGTAATACCTTCTCTATCATTAGATTTGCCAAATGTTGCCATTTTTTATAAATAATAATTGATCGAGAATTCAGAAAATCGATCGAAGCTCTTTTCGTTCTAAAAATATAAAGGTTGCTTTATAAAAATTTTTAAAAATAAAAAAATTTCTCCTTTTATTTTTGCAAAGAAATAAGGCATTTATAAACTTTTTAAAATTTGTGTACTAAGAATTCTAACTCAAATATTTACTGGTGAGACCGCAGACTTAATCGTTGTTTTCTCCTTAAAATAAGAAAAAATTACTTCCGCCACAGCTAGTTGACGGTCAAGGGTCCTTACAATGACATTATAACTTAGCGCTTTAACGGCGTTCTTAAAAACTGAAAAAGTCACAGTTTAAGTGTTTTACTCTTGAAGCAAATCTATAATTTAAAATTATCTATAAAATCTTAACGTAAAGAATTGTCTGAGCTATAGAAAGGACAAATAACTATAATATTTCAAAATCATTAAATTGTTTTAAAGATCGCTAATTTTTCCACTTAATTGAAAATTATCAAAATCAATAAATAATTCCCAATTTTTGCAAATTTTTATAAGCTCAGATAATGCAGCGCTAATTATTAAAATAATAGATCACAAACGCTTTTTATCTTGACAAAACTGTGGCTTTTTTTCATATTGGGGCACTGCGCCATTTTCAAAATTAGCCTAGAAGGCGCTGTTTAAACATCGACTAAACTTGACCCTAACAATCATGAATCCAGTGGCGTACCTAGAACTTTTGCCGCCCGGGGCGATCTCCAGTTTGCCGCCCTTTCTATTATAAGTCAATCAAATAGTGGTTTTTATAAATTAATACACATAAATAAATTATTAAGGTATTTAATCAATATTAATTAATACACAGAGTAAATTTTTTTAGACATATTTGTATGCACTCGTAAACATATTTATATAATATCTACTCTTCTAGCTTTCATACTAGAAAAATCGTGTATAATGCTCTCAAAATTTATATTATTTGTAATTTCTTGTTCTATTGACAATATTGCAAGATTTTGTAGTCTTAATTGACTCATTGTAGAACGAAGATAATTTTTTATCAACTTCAATTTTGAGAAGCTTCTTTCGCAACTAGCGACACTGATTGAAATTGTTAAAAAAATTCTTAACAAAATTACAATGTTGGGAACAGAATTTTCCAACCTATACTGCTGAATAAATTTTAGCAGATCAAGAGGGCCCTTCTCCCCGTTTTTCCAATGTTTTGCCTCTTTTTTTAGTGTAGGTACAGCCATAAAAACCTGGATCCTTTTTCTTTCAATATGGAACTGTTCTTTATCAGTGTCAATCAAGTCATTTATTTGACATTCAAATTCTTCATTTAGTAGGCTACACGGTATTATACACGAATATTTTCTTACAAGGCCATGCAACTGATCGAAGCGTTCTTTTATTTCCTTTATAATTCTCTCCATAGATGAAAACATTTCTCTTCGTACTTCTTCTTCTAAGGATAGCCCCACGTCTCGCGAATTTTCCCCACTCACATTTTTTCTCCTTCTAACTCGACGCTCAGTCGATATCTCCAACTCTTCACAAATTATTTTGGCTGCTATAACAGCGTTTTGTACTAGCGTATCTCTTTGTTTCATGAAATGTGTTTGCAAAGAATTTAGTTTTATATGGCATTGGACGACATTTAACCCTTTTATTTGCAGGTATTTTTGAGCGTCATTAATTTCCAAAAGGACGGGTTCCCATAAATGAAGGTAACATAGAAAAGAAAAAGATTGCATAGAATTGAGTAATACTCCAGCATCTGATCTCGTTTTACTATTTTCTTCTTCAGATGTCAATTTTTCCAAAGCGCTTAAAATGTAAAAAAAATGTTTTTTTACTATAGTTACCGCGGCAGCTCTAGCGCTCCAGCGAGTTTCTACACTGCGTTTAACACCTTGACCAGTGACAGAAAGTAAAACATTCCATCTATGAGTGGAAGAAGAAAACAACGAAAACAACTGTTCGATAGTTCCAAAAAATGTGATGGAATTGATAGCTGTAGAAGCTGCGTGTAAACATGCCAGGTTTAAAGAATGATTTGTACATGCTACAAATTCTGCATTTGGATTTATTTCTTTAATACGAGTTTGAACACCGCTGTGCTTTCCTGCCATGACGGCAGCATTATCGTAAGCCTGTCCTCTGCAATTTTTTATATCTAAACCGTCATTTTCTAATTTCGTTAAAATCATATCTGTGATTTCACCAGCAGTTTTTCCTTTAGTTTCTACAAAGTCAATAAACGATTCTACAACTTTAACTTCGCTACCATCAATAACTACATATCTAATAATTTGACTGGTTTGATCTTTGTGTGAAATGTCAGGAGTGCTGTCAAATATAATACAAAAGTATTTAGCCTGCTTTATTTGATCCATAATTGTTTTTCTGACTGCGCCTCCCAATAGCTCTATGAATTCGTTCTGGATCTTCGGCGACAAATAAGAGATACTATATTTATTACCCATCTTAATTTTTACTACGTGTTCTCGTAATACTGGGTCGTACTTAGCCAATAAGTCAACAAGCTCAAGAAAATTTCCTCTATTTTCCATTGAATCGATGTTTTCCTGATGAACACTTTCACGATGTCCTCGAAACGCCAAATTTTGTTTTGCTAAGAATCTAATTATATCAAGT